TAGTAACAAGTGCATCGCTACTAGTAGCAAGTGCATCGCTACTAGTAGCAAGTGCATCGCTACTAGTATAACAAGTGCATCGCTACTAGTAACAAGTGCATCGCTACTAATCGCTACTAGTAACAAGTGCAGCGCTACTTTGACCGCAGGCACCACGGCAACCGAGGCGCCCAGCCTTGATCAGCATTGTATGTGGTGTCAAGTCCCATTGAGAGAACGACTTCAAGCCCCCTTGTCATCCCTGTAGGCGGTCCCGCCGTCGAGTCATGTTCCGTGCAGCCTCGAGTTGGAGCTTGAACAACTGATGGATGCCGCTCGGTGACGTAGATGATGAAGAAGTGAAGGGATTACTACTAAGTTAGTGTACTGTATTCCTTTCTTTCTCTAAGGACATGTCTGCAACAGCTCCAACGCAGGAGCAACAAGGCTATCAAGGCTTGCTGGGCAGCACGTCGTGTCTTGTGATTTCCTGCGAGGTGCATTTGCAGAGGAGCAAAGAAAAGTACAGGAGAGCGATGCCATGTGATCAGAATTAGAGTCACCCAACCTTGACATCTTCGCAGCCAATTGAGTTGCCTCCAATGAGGAACAGCCGGATGTTTGCCTTTGACGTTTGTCTTGCCAGGACATGCAAGAACAGGATGTGGAGGTGCCACGCAATGTGGTCTTTCTGCTTTGTTTCTTGGTGGCGATTGGTGGCGGCAGGACATGCCTGTGGCCTCTCGAGCTGGAGCGTAGGGAGGTGAAATGCAGCGTAGAGCTGGTCGTTTGTCGTGCTGGTGCGTGCTGCGTGATGCCAGGAGAGATGAAAGGGGATGACAGCTGAACGCATGAATCAGCCAGTGACTTTTCAAACTGAAAAGGCTTGACGCTGAAACCTGCGGCCCGATCGGAGCCTGCTTCTGGCAGCGCAGCGTGAAACAACAAGCAAACTTGGAGAGTCTTATGGTGCCGATGACCGGTGACGATATCCCAAATTAAAGTCACAAATATATTCATAAGATGTCATAATCTTATCTTATATACATATAGCACATATCCTTTGCTTCAAATTACAGTATCTTGGCTCTAATCGGCATGCTGTCCCACAGAGCATGGGGGATGCTCTGGAGGGAGTCTGGAAAGCCGCCAGGGGTGGGGTGGGCTCTAGGAGCGCTTCAGGAGCCTGTGAGCCTTGCGGCTTTGACTTGGAAAAAGGGGTCTTGCGAAAGCTTGCCGACAGTTTTACTTCGATTGGAGTATTGTAATTGGGGCACGAAGAAGGTGCGGCATTATAGCGTAATTGACTTTTGATGCAAGACACCAGTGATGAGTTGCTGCAGTCTGCAGTACTTTGGTTTCTACTGTATTTTGATTAGCTTAGTAGATTAGGTTTATTAGCGAGAGCAGCAGCTCTTGAGTGAGCAGCTCAGACATGCATCAATCGAGACTTCAGATGCTTTCAGCTAAAGACTGGTGCACTCGTCCGATCCGCTATGGTTTGAGGTGCTCTCCTTGCAAAGATGACCGCGCTGCAAAAGATTGCCGAGATTGAGGTGCAGCATGAGATTGTGTGTTAGAGATTGCTTTATATTCTTATTCTCCATCATTTTTCTCAGGTGCGAGTAATCATAGAGAAACCAGCCACACTTGTAGGTGTCCTTGGTTTGTCTTGCGAAGCTCCCTGGTTTCGCTGAACTTCCAAAGAGGCCGAAATGGCACGGACGCAGAAGAACAAAGCAACCAATGCGCATCTTGGGTTGCTGAAGGCGCACCACAGCTACTGAGCAACATCATTGCTAGCAGTCGTGTTTGCTTCTTTCTTTGTTTGAATATGAATAGCGAGACACCCAAAGAACCCAGTGACAAAGTAGAAACATAGTCTTTCTAGTCGCTCGCTTGACAGGCAAAGCTTGCCAAGTTACGAGCGACCATTGTGTCGGAGGGCACGAGAGGTAGCGGTGGTGGAGGTGGACAGCAAGGTTTTGAGGCCTGGATGAAGACTACTTTCAGCAGCAGCGGATGGACAAAGGACGCTAATCTGTCTCGAGTACGGAAGAGTCGGACGTCCAAAGATGTTCAAACAGAGTACGGATGAGTACGGTGACTTAGACCTGCGGACCTGCGCCTGTGCGCAGGTCTCCAAGACGGGAGATGCCAGAGTTGGCCTTATTGGATTTCCGTCGGTGCAGGTCTCAGATGACTCACGTCCACTGGTAGGTTTGGATGTGGAGACCCCAAAATTCTGGATTCAGTTGCCCCCCCCCAGTGGTGTGAAATATGTAAATATCAAGGAAAATGGGGGGATGACTTTGGGTAAAAAGGATAAAGCGAAGTCCAAAAGGATCTCTCAATAAAGATTGTCCAGACGCTTTGTGGGAAAGTCCACCTGGACCGTCCTTGTCGTGTGCCTCCCAGTCCACGACCGAGGTTGGCAAATCCACCTTGCTGAACAAGATGACGGGCAGTAGCAGCGAGGCAGCGCATTACTAGAAGCAAAAAGAAGCTACTTGTCGCAAGGGCATCACTACTAGTAACAATGGCATTACTACTAGTAGCAAATAGCTACTACGAGCAGCACGAAGGAACCATCGACCGATGCTTGTTCCGGTTCGCAGCGGCTCCGGAGCTTCGCATGTTTCACGAACCATGCGTCAGATCATGCGGCTGGTCAGGTGGCTTCATATGAGTTCACCACTTTGACCTGTGTACCTGGTGTTTTTAATTACAAGGCACTGTGACACTGTGCATTTTTCTTTAAAGCTGCAAAGGATTGTCAATTTGAGTCAATTTGGCATGAGCAAGTCATTTTGCTAAAACATGTTGGAACCGCCTCAAGCAGCAAGCCTGCAAAGTCTTCTGACCTCAGCAGCTTTGGCTTGTTTTCTGACTCAAGAACCTGACCACGGTCAGGGTGCCAAGATCCAGCTGTTGGACTTGCCCGGTATCATCGAGGGTGCCAAGGATGGCAAGGGCCGAGGAAAGCAGGTTCGACCGAAAGCAATGCACAATGCAAAGCAATGCTGTCAGACATTTCCATGGACATGCTGCAAGATGTCGCAAGTAGATCGCCCGCACTATAGATATATCTTGTTTTTTGTCTTTCAAGCGCCAATGAGAAGGCCTCGAGTGGTCGATTTTCTTTTGATATTTGCTGACTGAAGCGTCTTGCAGGTGATCAGTGTGGCATACAGCTGCAGCCTCATCTTGATTGTCATGCGCTAAGATGATGTTTGCAAAGTTGGAAGTACTTTCAGGCAAGCAAATGTGAGTGTTTGAGCAAGTGCTCTGAATGGAAAAGCGTTTTCTTTCCAGTGTCCTTGTGGATCAGGCTCCACTATGCTTTGCTCAAAGTTTCTTGTGGTCTACCCTACTCTAGGAAGCCTCTTTTTGGCCAAGGTCTTAGATGTGATGAAGCCGATCCTGCATAAGCGCAAGATCGAGTACGAGCTCGAGGGTTTTGGGTGCGCTACCAGTTGATTTGCTTGACGTAGAAAGAGGTTGCGAAGACCAACCACTTTGACCAGTTTGATAAACCAACCACTTTGTCCTCAGGATCAGGTTGAACAAGTCGCCGCCAAACATCCTCTTCAAGAAGCGGGACCGTGTCATGGCATCTTTATTTTCGCAGCACCAAACCATCCACGTAGATCCATGTAGCACTTTGTCCACCACGACTTGAGAGGAGAAGGGTGGTATTGCCTTGAATATGGCACCAGGCTGTGAGCTTCAGGACTTGCCAAAGTCGTTGGTGCTTTCGCGGGATTCATCATGATTCATCCCCGACCCAGCATTCTACTCAATGTTTTAGATCCGCGGTGGCTTTCACCGACCTAATGCTTCGATATAAACTACTTCAATCTCCGAACGCTTTGACACGTAGACGAACTCTTTTGAATCTCTTTGGGGACAGAAATAGCACACCTGCTACACCCCCACCACGACATGTCGTATGAACACCAGGAAACAACGGCATACAGCATACACGGCATACACTTGAAACCGTCTTATTTGTGGGCGTATGTTGAGGCTTCGCTTCGCTTTCTGATGTAGATGAAGCAATCAGTCTGATCACATTTTGGCATGTTGGTTGCTAAATATATCCGGGCAAATATGAGACAAACGCTGAAATGGCGCTCCTGCATGTCTCCCTCAACAAGGAAATGCATCAATGCATCTGCAATGTGACATTAGCATTGCTCAACCACACCCGGCACCATGGAGTCGGTGTTGGCAATTTTTTGTGCAATTAAGATTTGGGGACATGTACCCTAGGATATTTTGTCCACGCGAGGACTGCGATGAGGACAGTATCATGCAGGCTCCTGGACATGCAAGCTTTTTGCCGGGAGACATTGCACCTATCGATTTGTTTTTGATTGAATCATCCAAGGTTCTGAAGGAGTACAGAATATCCAATGCGCAAGTTTCTATCAGATGCAACGCAACAATGGATGACATCATAGATACACTTGAGGCGCTGGCATCCTGATTCGGGTACAGAAGGGGGTTCCGGGGTTCCATGCGTCGTTTGGCAGTGGACCGTAGTGGTGACAGGTAGAGCGAGCAATTTTCGGACAGACAGGACATGTCTCTTGATTTGTTTCTTCCAGGGCAATCGAAAGTATTGTCCTGCGATTTATGTGATGAACAAGATCGATCAGATCACAATTGAAGAGCTAGATATCATTGCCGAGGTAGGGCCGCAGTGAAGATGAGTGCTTCTCGTGAAGTAGACATTGCAGAAAACGATATGCAACATGCACCGTCGCTGTTGCTAAGGTGCCTCATCATGTTCCCATTTGTGCCCATCACGAATGGAACCTTGATGGCCTGGTTGAGATGATGTGGAGATATATGAGCCTCTTGAGGCTGAGTCCATAGCCTGACATCTTAAGTCTTAGAGTGTGACGACACTTGACATCGAGCTAGAGTCTCCATGAACACTGTCAGGATATACACCAAGCCACGTGGTCAAATCCCGGACTACACGGTCGCTGACTTGACAAGAAATCAAGAAACAAAAAAAACGCTCACACATGCTCACACATCATGTGGCATTCGCCACTATGCAAGGCACCGGTGATCCTTCCTGCGGAGAAGAACAAAATCGAGGAGTGCCACGAGCAAATCGGACAAGCTTTTGTGCTGGGTATCCTTTGCTTTTTCAAAAACCCTGCAACACACTGCGCCCACTGAAGAGAGTTGCTGATAAATGAAGCTTGCGTCATTCATTGGTCGTAACAATAATCAAGGAAAGACCAATTCAACCCCCCGCCGCACTGTCGCGAGGACTTTTGTCTTCGAATTCACAAATCTCTTCTTGGACAGTCATTGCCATACAAGATATTGCAAGACAAGAGCATGTTCATTCACAAGCAACACGGGAAAGCATATCAGACAGGAACAGCTGCAAACTGCTCACGCTCAGGTTCAAAGTTGCTTTGGTGTGGGGCATGTCTGTGCAGCATGCCCGTTTGAGACGTTTCTGCTTTAGAACGTTTTGAAGAGCATTTTGAAGAAGATGGCAGGACACGGGTTCTTCTCAGATTTTGGATTCTGCTTGCGGTATCTACTGTATTTAATTGTATTGGTTGCAGGTCAAACACAACCCACAAAGATGTGGGAAAGACCATCAGCTCATGGACGAGGACGTCAGACTTCAGCCCTTCTTTGACAATTTGTATGGACATAGGTCGTACGCATATTATATACATCATATTATATACTCCAGTTCAAGGCATTTGCACAAACAGTGAAGGACGTGGTACAAATCATCAAAAAGGTCGGATGAGCAAGCGATCGTGTTTCACAGTCTTGGATTTGGAGAACCTGGAAGCACTGGAAGCCCTCAAGCTTGTTGGTTAGTGTCGTCTTAGTGTCGTCTTGCTGAATAAGGGACAAGGTAACTGGTTGACGATACGCAATGTTTCATTTCCTAATCTCCAACGCCTGCACAGAGACATCAAAGTAAGCCAAGAGCGAAAGACCGTCAGAAGCGAAAAAGTGATTTGCTTGAAAACATGTAGCATCTGCCTGGCCTGAATTGTGTGAGCGTGAACGCCGTGAACGCTTTCGCCGCTTGCACTGCCTCGATCCAGTGGCTCAGCCCCCACAGATGATGCATCATGATGCCAAAGCGAAGTCTAAGGACCAAAGGATCAAAAGGTTGAGAGGGGAGCAGTGATCTTGGGACATCGACATCATCGAATCATCGACGGACATCGGCACACATCTTTCGACGGGCATGATTTGCGATGAACGAACGAGTTTGTTTCTTTTGGGAGAACGAGTTTGATTAGGAAAGCGACCACCGACCTTTTGAATCTTTTGAAGTTCGAATGGAGCAAAAGCCATTGGGCAATGCCCACTGGGAGGTGTCTGAGGATTGCGCTGCCAATGTCAAACAGTTCTGCCCAAAGATATGCCATTTCACAACTTGGCAGGAAAATGGTGAGCCACCAGGGACTCCAAGAGCAGAGACTCTCGATCAAATGAAGCCAATGATATCGTGAAACAGCCAAGAACGGAAACACCAAGTTGCACCTGGAAGTATGAAATTTGGTGGCGAAATACAGGAGCAACTTATGTATCACGACTTGTGGATACATGTGGGCCCCTTCTCCTGACCACAAGTAGTAATTCGATGTACTTTGTAGTGCGTAGTAGGATCTAGTAGGCAAGATTTAGGCAAGATACTATTTGGTCATCTCAGGCCAAACGCTGCTCCTGAATCGCCATCGGATTGGATCTCAGTGCAGAAAAATGATAAACGTGTCGTGTGTCATAATGCCTGACCAGAAAAGGCGGAAGAAAAGGGAATTGGCTGCCTTATGAAGCCTAAAAAAGGTGGACACAGCGGACACTTTTCCAAAAGGTTGCTTTGTGGAGGCTCGTGCTACGACCGCACCTTCAAGCCCTCGAAGAGTCAAGGTGGGCCAGCGGCGTGCGGTGCCAATGATCATGGGTTTCGCAACCTGCCAAAGAATCCACGGACCACCCTGCCAGAATGGACCCGTCGGGCAGTCTGTCCGGAGCATAGCTGTGCCCGGAATGCTTGCTTTTGCGGCTGCTTTTTCTGTAGTTTGCATACAAAAGGGTGAACATTTGTGGAATCTCATGACCCTTTGTCAAGACACTGTTTGAGGTTATGCACATGTCAACCCTCAGACGTGCGCCAAAGTACAGCTTCCGTGGTGTCAAAGACAGGCCAACCAATGCTTTCGTGCATTCCCCTTGACAGTTGAACTGGCTGCACAGTGTATGATTTAAAATCCGATTGACACATTGCTTTGCCCAACGCGGCCTGGGTACAAGTACAAGGGCAAAATCGCACCTGTTTGTTCAACAGATACGACAACAGATGAGAAGAAACCAGAATGCTTTCCTCAGTTTGGGAAGAGGTCAGGGACTGCACGGTTCTGGAAAGGTTTCAGACAAGGGGCCTACAAGCGGCAGCACAAGTTCCTGGGTGAGGAACTTGGAAGATCTTTGCTTTTTGTGTGTGTCTTTCCAATCTCTGGTTTTGGTGCAAGAACACGGAGAGATATTTGGGCAAGGCAGCGTAGGCGTGATGCATGCATTTATTATACCATTTGTCAGGCCGGGAGCATATGGCAAAGAAGTGGTCGCACCACAGGCCAAATATCTCAATGACCACAGGTCACTCAAAGACATTGTAAAAATACGCGCTTTTTCAAAAACAAACACCTGCTGCTGCACATCATTCTTCTGCTTCTGGCAGGTCTACTCATCACGACATCGCAAAAGTCCTGGCTATGGATTTGGCACCAGTGCCAAACAGGTGCAAGACCAATCCATGTAAGGTGTACTTTGGAGATCTTTGGGTTGGAAGGCCTCATAAGGATTCTTTTTGGGTTCGAAGAGCGCTCAAAAGGTCCAAAAGGCAAATGTGAGAAGAAATGTCACCACCAACGCCGCTTGTGGGGTCTCTCTTTTTGAATGCACAACTCATAATTTTCTCTCAAAGAGCGCAGCGATCTCTCTCACACCTCCCAATTAAATCCCTTCCTCTCAAGACACGTCTCAAGGAGGAGACGGAGATCCGGGCTCCAGGACCAGGCACTTATCCCAGAGCTTCTTCAGGCGATGGCGTTTGTGGGGGCATGGGGCATGTTTGTGAACCAAGACAATAGATGTATGTAAACAAAAAGAGGTGGCTGATTTGACGAATTCAATGACACACCAAATGCACTGGTGAACGGCTTCGATGAAGGACCTGCAAGTGCTTCGTTGTCCGTGAGGCTTCATGGGGGCTGGCAAGGCCTTTTCTTTGACGCCGCGTCGTTGGCCGGGCCCTCCACCGAATGATGGCAACCACATTCTATCGTGAGGATCCAAGAGACACGGAAGCTGCGTCAAATGCTCGGAAGCTGAATTTTCGTTGTACGTAGGCGTATGTTCTCTCTCTCCTTTCTGTGATCAATTCTTATCACTCATTCATCCTACAGGCCATACAAGGTTCAAAAGAAGTTCTATGCACTACCTCCTCCATCCGCATGGTCCTGTGCTTGTCAGTGTCCAGGTTTCAAGGTGTCGCTATCTTGGGTCAGGTCCACTACAGATATAGATTATAGAACTGTCTCCAAAATGCTTTGTCGTAACTACTGTGCTTCACAGTGCGTGCATGGTAGTTTAATGTAGTTTAGGCCATGCTGTCAGCCGTTGGGATATTTTGATTGTGCCATGTTGTAGCCTTTGATGTGGATGTTGCTGGCGTCGTTGTGCTGCCTTTTCGTCGTCCCGATTTGTCCCCATGATTTTGGGAAGTTGTTGTGAGATCAGCACGACCCAGGCCTGGACCTGGTGCCCATGATGTTGACAGTGGTGTCAAAGGGTACACCCAGCTCGACTGTGCCGCTTTCGTACATCACTCACGGGCAGATATTTTTGGTTTTGTACTGATTTGGGTGCCAGTACTGTAATGAATTGGGTGCCAGGCCGCGCTACAGCATTTCACCAAGAAGGGTTCCAGAGAAGGCTGCCTAAATGCTGGATTGTTGTCTCGTTGTCCTTAAGAGAAGTTAGTTGGCGGTTTTACAATTCCAACCTATAGCGGTTGGCGTAGAAATGTAGATGTCAAGGCCATACTGCAACTTCCCTGAGCACGATCAATCTGCGATTAAAAAACTCCTGTGCAGCATGCATGCCTCCTTCATGTGCAGGGTGGTGCTCTCATTCCAGGGCCTGCTCCTTACCACTTCACTTTCTCTTATTTTCAACTTCGACGGCTGTTTGCTCCCAGGCCTTCTCAATATGGGATGATGGACAGAGCGCTCGGCCAAACAAAGCCGAAGCTTCCGAGCCAGCCTGACTTGAGTTTCTCCAAACACCTTGCCGCTGCTCTTTCATCACTTCTTGCGACTTGTGCCAGGTTGGGGCTTTGGCACCACAAAACGCCCAGGCACCTCGAAACGCTTTGGCTCACAACCGACCTCGAAATCTTGATTCGGACACTAGCTCCAAGGCTTCATTCTGCACGATGACCGGCCAGTTCCAGGGATCAAAGGTCGGTGCACTTAAGTCTGCCACTACTCTGACAAGAAATGGTTTCTCCATGTTTCTCCCTTTCTGCTAGGTACATTTAGTATCATTTAGTATTGCCACTAATTCAACACGTAAGCAACTGATTTGTTGTGCGGAGTTCATATGATGTTTCTGCTGCGAAGGAAAGAGCGGCGCTTCGGCCTGGGTGTCCAAACTACCTGGACCCGGCTCGTCACCTTGTTTGCACATTATATCTTTGTATGGAACGAAGAGTTCCCTATCTACTGGGTTAGAGTCTATTTTCTATTTCTGAAGGGTGTTCGGGGGACTCAGCAAGATATTTCTCTAGCAAATTTCAACAAAGTGCTGCTTTTTTGTGCGGGTAAATCATCATTCAATTGTCCTGCCAGCCAAGGTACAATACTCCAAGCACTGTTGGTGAAGGGCCAAAGTCAGCGCCTCGTTCTTGGCGGTGCACAGCGCTTTGAACAATCCCTGATTATATAGAGGTACTCTGTGGGTGCTCGAAGGATACAGTCTCGACGCATACTGTCACCTGGACCAGGCAAAGGTTTGGCAAATTGAGCAATGTCGAACATTTTTGACACATGCAAGTCAAGCAAAATCTGGCACAGAACACATGCACTTTGCAGAGAAACTGGCATTGTGCAGGAGACACGGGCGGCAAGCTCCTTAGATGGTATGCCTTAAAGGTACTACTGTAAGTAGTAGCAAAAGATACAAAATGAAGCGTATTTAGCTGGAATCTCCTTGCTCGATCCATTTGTTGTTGTCGGATTGGAGTTGGAATCAAACATTTCAAAAGAACTGTCGAACTCAGGACCCTACACTACCTTCGTTTAGAACAAGCTTGGGTTCGTGAGGCCCGAGCCCAGATATTTTTGGAATGCGCCATGCGCAAAGCGCAGAAGACTGAATTGAGGAAGTCGTCGTATCACTTTGACAGCTGCCCTGAATCGCGGGGCGAGCAACGCATTTTCGAAGCATGTGCAGAGGCAGATCGCAGGCTTTGCACCACCCCAAATACTTGTAGCTGTCAACATGTTTACGATAAGCCAATAGCGGAAATCATTAAGAAAGTGGCTTGGAAGGGGTGCGCAATGCAAGTTGGGTCAGCTCAAGGCTTTCCACCCGGCTTCGTGAAAGGAATGTGTTCCAGCACACCAATACGTGACTGAGGAGGGGGAGTCGTTTTGGCTTCAGTTCGCTTGGGAGTCGTCTTGGACTGGAGAGTTATGGAGAGAATTCCGGCCAAGGTATTGGACTCCTTGGTTAGTTGAGCCCTGGCTCAAGCTTCGGAAGGGCATCATGTCAAGAGGCTTCAGAGATGATACTCAGATCATGAACCAAACAAAAGATAGGCTAAGCTCAGGCTCCAGTCCCTCTTATGATTGTTAGATGTTGTTCAACACGCTTTGGTCAATACAACCTGCCACACGGGCCTTTGCCACTGCAAGCCGCTCAAAACAGCCAAGCTAGATTTGCCCCAAAGAAGGGTATTGATCTGCAATGGCTTGAAGACATCAGGTAGCAAAATCTGATCCACAATTGGCTTGCCTTTGCTTAGCTTATTTGAGCTCCCATATGCGCCAGGCACCATGCTGTGGCTGCTGCTTTTGGCTGTTTGACCCCAAGAACTGCGAAGTGGTCACTTGACAATTGGACAGCCCTGAGGTGGGGGTTGACGCGACGTCGACCGGAACCACTGTATATGGTGTAGCCCTTAGAATCCTGACGGTTCAAAAAAGAATCGGTGGAATGCAGCAATCCCTTCATATAGTGTCACTGCAAAGTAGCCTAAACTACATCTATTTTGCCAATCTGTCTAAATAGTGTTTCTGAGATTCTTCTTCAACTTGTCAAGAACTAATACGTAGTAGTCTTCTCTTACGGCACCGATGTGCCACGTCCCATTTCGTCACCAGTTACTGCACAATTCATGTGACTCCTGTGAGGCCTTTTCAATCTCTGCGGTTTTACCTGTTCAGCTGGAACCATCTTTAATTCAAGCACAACCTGTTGGCATCGCATGTTGTAAACCGGTTGAGGTGCTTCAACTCTTTGCTTCACATTGGTGCGTCCAGGGGATCAGGTGCGGTCCGTCGTTCCTTTTTTGGCGCAGCGGAACGTTCCTCGATCGGAGTCGTTTCGGGCGCTTCACCGTCGTTCCTCTGAGGCGAAGCTCTTGGCACAGCAGTTCTTCGAAGGTGCCACTGAGAGCACCGAGAGTACCCACGGACGGTGAACCGTTCCCTCGTCCTCGTTCCAAGAAAGAATGGATTCGTTCATATTCGTTCTGTGTTTGCGCAGGCCAAGGGGTGATACTGTATTTCTTTGGATTTTTTTTGGACTACCCGCATTGTCTCGTTCGGCTTCTGGACACTCCAAGCACGACTGACTGAGGCATTGGAATATTTGCGTGTGACAATCACATGATCTTCAGCAGTGCTCCAGCCGAGGAGTGTCTCTAAGCAAACACAATGGCAACGAAGGTTTACTGTAGTCGAGAGGAAGCAGTTGGATGTGCAATTGAAGAATTAGGGAGACCCCCCAACGAATGGGTTGTGGTCTCTTTTGTATTATGTTTGATCTTCACGGGGTCTTTGTTTTGATTTTTCTATTCCAATACACAGACGCCCAGTTCTTCCTTGACTTCCGAGCCGACGCTGGGTGCAGGAGCTTTTCCAGCCAAAGCAATGGGGAATCAAGAGGTCTGGAAACTTCTCACGTTCTGATGGGAAGTTGAAACAATATGAAACAATGGATTCCAGGTGGCCAAACAATGGCCCATTGGTGTACTTGGTACCCGGATGGCAAGCAGAGCCCGAAAGCCCGGCAGAGAAGCAGCTGAGCCCGAAATGCGATGTGCAGCGCCTTGCTTTGGTAAGGCCTGATGTGAATACAATGCAGAAGGCCGCGCCGCGCCTTCCGTGTCTCAATATTTGTGAAATGTGGTCTTTAAACATGTTTTACTGCTAAGTCGCTTGACTGCACTGACTGCACTTCTGGCCTCACAAAATGTCTTGAAGGTGCGACGGCAAGAAACGGCAAACTCGCCGGCGCCGGCAGGTGTGGCAACAGGTCTCCGAGATTGGACTCTACAAAGAGTACTCGTGGACATTGAAGATGGACTGCCTGAAATGTGACCATGGAATACCATGGACTCATTGACCATTGACCACCAGCTGCTGTTTTTTAGTGATGATTCTGATGGGAAATCGAAGTCTTTGTGAAGTCAAGCTCCGTCCGCAGGAACCCGAGGTTGCCTTTCTGACATCAACCATACATGATGTCCTGTGCGTGCCTTAGTTTTTGTTATGGTTATAGATGATCATACAATGAGCAGTTGGTCAAGACAGATGTTCAAGGACCTCTCATTGCTCTGACCGTGGCAACACCTGCTTGTTTTTTGACGTTGCTGTTGCTGTTTGGGAGTGCATTGATTTGGCACCGAAGCGTCCCGACTGCAGATTGCAAAGCGATCTTTTTGGCGAACAGTGCCTCAAAGATCTTCAGTGTCATGCTCAGTGAGCAAGGATGAATTGCAGAGGTAGGAGGAGGTCATCGCTATTAGGTGGAGGCTATCGCTATTAGATGAAGGCCATCGCCATTGGTAGGAGGCCATTGCTAGTAGGTTGGAGGCCATCGCTTGTCACTCTTGCGCTGTGCCAAAACTGAGGTCAGGTCCAGGCTCTGACCAGGAGGGCCGTAGAGCAGCTTGGAAACCATGCGGATGTTTGCCAAGACAAGGTGGATTGGCAGTTGAGTACCTGGCTTCACCTTGCAAACCTTGATGATGCCAAAGGCAGATTGGTAACAGTAGCCTGCACACCCTTGCTAGGAGTCCCATTGTTCTTTTTTGGAATGCCAATTCTTTCAGTGTTCTCTGCCTTTGTAAAAACACACATATATATATATATAATATACGTCACCTGCATTTCGAGCAAGACGGTTTCCTGACAAGCCACATATTAGATGGCGTCGTGCCAGGTCGCAGATGACTCACCGGACATTTGGGGATTCTGAAAACCTTTAAATGCAAGAGTGGCACGGTGTCGTGCGAAGCATGTTGGACGAGGGCCCCTTGTCGTGTGCACTGCATGTGCGGCCTTTTGCAATTTTGTCTAAATTCCAGAAACATAGGTCAGGAGCTTGTGTGAACCCGTGCAGGATGCTTACCTGCAAGACTGCTTGATGTTGAGTGGTGCAAAAGCCGTGAAGGAGCCGACTGACTCAGACTTTCCACTCATTTGGTATCTCAGAACCGAAGGCCAACATGAGCCTTGGGGGAATGATCAGGGAACAAAAGCTTTTACTGAGCTAGATGCCTGAGATTTGACAACTGAACAGTTATATATTTGTTTCCAGAGGGCTTAATTTGAATATTTTTTTGATTTTATTTTGAATTGATTCCGATGGGCTGGGTTTTGGCTTGTCGGCCTGAGGGTGAAGTCTTTTTTTGTTGACATGCCAACAGAAAGCACCCGGCCATGTCAGGAGGACAAACTCCTCGCAGACTTTTCACACGCGACGGTGGCAACTGTGTGTAATTCGAGTAGCTTGTTTGCGGCAAAGTGGAAAGGAAAGTGTGGAATTCGAGTGCGCTACTAGCACAGTAGCATTCTTGCTCCTAGTAGCCATGCCCTTTGTTCCTAGTAGCTTCTTGCTCCTAGTAGTAAGGCCAGGAGCTACTAGTAGCGGCTAGTAGTGTTTCTTTTTTCTTCTGCCTTTTTTGCCAATTCGATCCGAGGCACCGGTGGGTTCTATCCATTTGCAGAATGGGGACAATACATGTCCTGCCTTGGCCAGGCGTGGCCATAACATCCATAACCAACACCTGCCAGAAACATGACACCGGTCAGCACTTTTCTTCACCTGTGTGAAACAGGCTGGGTATTCGGTGATCCCGGACTCTCCAAACAATCTGGCCAAGGCGGATGTGCCACCGGAGTGAGTGGACCATAGTCGCTGCAGATTTGCGCTGTGATGGACGGAGCGTTGGGAGGTATCGTGGACGCGAGATGTCTTGCTGAAAGGCCCAGGGTAAACCCTGCACACAGACATCCTACAACTAGCAATGGCCTCCTCTCCTACCTAATAGCGATGGCCTCCAACCTACTAGCGATGATTCTGTAATCAGGTGACAAACTGGTTCTGTAATCAGGCGGTTATCTCAGACCGACGATCTTTTGCTGGGTGCCTTCGGCAAGCATTGGCATATCAGTGACATGTGTAACCTGGGAACCGGAGCGCTCATGTGCATTTTGTGCGTGATAGGAATGACAAACTTATGGCTGACCGTAGGACAAACAAGTTATATAGCTGCCCCAAATCAGTTTGCTGTAATGTCATGTATATATAAAGGCATATATATATATAATAATGCAGCTGCAAATTAGTTGGGGGTGACACTCGTACTGGCAAAGCAGCGCTGGTGGCAGAGCTTTGAACGTATACAGACTCTAACAGGACGATTGCACGAAAGTGTCACAAAGTGTCACCCGGTCCAGGCCCTTGTGCAACACGCCGGGCAGGACTGTTTGTCCATTAAGAGCTTGCTGAAACCAAACCTAAACGGTCAAGACGCAATCGACCATGGTGGAATCCAGCCCTACTCACATCGTGAGGAACCAAAACTTATGGAATGGCAACGAGAAAGAGGCAGGAACTGATTGTTGAACTTTGCTTCTGAAGTCAACTTTCTTGGCGCTTGAAGCAAAGGCCTGAGAGTGTCTCTCCTCCTCAGTTTATACCGAGGTTTAGGCATTTTTGCCTGCGATGGTTGGATGGTTGTTAGCAACGCCTCCGCGCGGGAGGCTGCCGAAGAAAATGTTGTTTGTTTTCTTTTTTCTGTTTTGTGTCACTCTTGATCAATCCAGTTCTCGCTGTTCTCACTCAAAGACATGCTTGAACCATACTATCTTTGCGTACATCTACAATAATATGATATAAATTGATATAATATGTTAAACAGCATCTATTCTATAAAGACATGCCTCGCATGAAATAACTTGATACACATGTAATTAATGATGATCTTGGATGAACACTATTGGTGGAACTGGACCCGAGATCACTTTGACAGGTGCTCGAAGGACAGGCTTGGCACACGTCAACTCCCCAGCGGTTTTGCAGACCTTTTGCCTGAAGTGATCAGAGCTACTCCCTATCCAAGAAACATAGAATTGGATGACATTGCCTCCCAGACAAGTATGCCAGTTACTGTAAGGGTTTGTTGTAGCTATGGTAGCTCATTTGTTGGCAGTGCCCGTGTTTGTTGGATGTTGACATGCTTCGACCCCAATGTCTTGTTGGGAAGAGATAGTTGAATGATTTGCCCTAAGGGACATCGTGGTGGTCCATGAGCAGACGATGGTGTCAAAGTGATCCTGGCATTTTTGAGATCATTTCAGAAATTCAATCAGACGCGCGTGAATGGTGAAACGCGCCATTCGCTTTGAACTGTAACTGAAGGACCTTTATCAGCAAAGGGGGTCTTTTGGCTGCACTAGAGAGAGGACCAACTGTTGATTTTGGCCTGTTGCCCTGCGTTTCAAAAGGCTTCTTGCTGCCCGTGCTTTTGTGGGATTTGCACAAAGGCAAGTTGCTTCCGGTGATTCCCAATGCTGGCGTTGTCGCCTTAGCTGATTCTCCATTTGCGTTCAGGTGATGTTTTCTGATTTGGAGGTTTTTGCGCTGGCATGGCAAGCAGTCTTCACCAAAGGTGACTTTCGTAGCTCCGGCCATGATTTCACCAACGTAACTAAGCCTTGCACTGCCAGCTTGCCCGTGATGTTTTCAGTTCTCCTTGCCAGGCAAGTATGATTGGACCATAAAACTGGACGTTGATGTGGCTGTTGTTCCAGAACGTTTGCGGGAGGCCTGCAAGGGACCCTGACTTACTTTGCTTGTGTTTCTATGGAGGGGCAACCTATAACTATGCTGGGCCTAAAACATCGCCACGGGCCCGCTCATACCACACTACTCAATTCCTTTGCACGAGAACATTTTGTGTAACTAGATGCGCTTCACGCCATCCAGTTGTCTCACTCTCACATGTCAAAAACACTACGCGCTGCACAAAGCCACAAGGGATACACTTGCAAGTTCAACACCACAAGGAGCTTTTGCATGCTTTTGCCCACTTAGAACCATACCAGGTCTGAAGTACTTCCAATGCTACTTGACACCATACATGACCTGAAAGATCTCTGTGCTGTATACAGATCTGTACAGTTTTTTGTACCCTGAAGTGGCGCTCTTGACATTGCATTGCACATTCTGCAACCTGCCGATTCTTCGTAGCATTAGCGACAGTATGGATGAATCTAATGTAGCCTCAACATCGGACCAGCTCAGAGAATTTTATGTTTGCCATGTGACTGTGAACCTTTTGGGTTGTGTTGGCTGGGGGTTACAGTTCAATGCGAACAAGGGAGAAGTGAATCAATAGATGCCTCAGGCCTATCTTTCTCTCTTGACACTTCTAAATATTGCTGGCCATGGGTCAAAGCCCAAGCTCCGGGAGCATCGAAACATCTGCAAGCTGCAAGCCTCACGAAAAGATTGATGATTACTTTCTTCAGCGTGTCACTTCTCGCGTTCTGCAACGGGTGCCCCCAGTGCAGTCTCCGTTTAGCTTGAGTCCATCGTGTCCTTCACCTGGCGATCAGACGCAAGAAATACAGTCACACATGGTGGAGCGAGTCAAGGGCGTGACGAAAGTCTACTGGTGCTCACAGCCATTGAATGAACTCGGTGCATTCAAAGTGCTGAGCCCTCGGTGGCTTCCCAGGCGATTGGCTTGGAGACAGAGCCGTGAGTTGGAAGGACCAGCTACCTGGGAACTTGGACACTCCTATGCCATCGTGGATGTGGAGCTGCTTCCAGAAGCTGCGAAGCTCTCGGGTCAGTCAAGCGAGAGATATCGTTTGAATTGGGGCGCAGGAAGGCGGGTGGGAACAAACTTGGCCATTGAGCGACAAGATCACGTCCCAGAGAGCAAAATCATGGGCGACCGACTGGAGAAAGTGTATCCTGGCACGTGTACTGGAAAGGAGCTGCATAATTTTTTGAAAAAGTGGGATGGCAGCACTTATGATGCAAACGCAGCTAATAATCGAAACTGTCACCACTTTATGCAAGAGCTTATCCATGCTTGTACTAGACATGCTGGACATGAGGATGCTGATCGCCCAGAAGAGAAGGATTTCCTACCTACCTAACTTTGCCGTTAGCGAGACGAAGCAACTCAGCCAATTGCCTGCATGACATCTGCCTGCGCACACTTTCCACTTTCAGTTCCTCTTGTTGAAGCAGCCTACGACAGGGCCACGCAGCCGCCTGCATTCTTGGAAGGTGAATGCGCCCAACGACGCTTGCAAGGCTGACCCATGCCATGGCGTGCCGCGGCAAAGATCCAAGCCACTGTCACAGCCAACTATCACAGCCAAAATGGCCTTGAAGAGGAAGACAAGGAAGAAAAGTGAAATGGTGGACTGTGGACTGGCTTCGTGCATATATACAGATGTGTATATAGTATACATAGAATTGAGTAAAACAGAGCTTGTGGCTCTTGCACGTAAGTTTGAGCGGCTTGACCTAAGGGATTTCCAACTTATGTAAAGAGCCAAGCGTGGGTCTGTGATGGTCTGTGGGCTGCATCCATCCATATTCACTTGCTTTTTTCATGAACGACGGTGTAGGTTTTGCATGCTCGGTGTGGGCCTTCTGGCTGCGGCAAGAAGATGCTTCAGACCTTTGGCGGAGTCCGAGAGCCCGGTATCTCATGGAGCGTTCAGGACGACTTCCTTTGAAGTAAAGTGTTGTAGACGGGTCACCACCTTCTTCCCAAACAGGGGACCCGTCAGGACATTCATTTGCCTTTTTCGCATGCCCTGTGGGTCCCTATACTGGAGTTTTGAGGGAACAAGTGAGCTGAAGCTCTTCTGCCAGGCTTCTTGAGGGCTCAAGATGCCAGAGTCCATACCACATAAAATGAGCCCACGGAATCGCATCACACATCACGCGCCTGTAGATCGGCATCTTTGATCCAGTCTACGTTTCACTGGCTTGTGGTTTATAGGGAGCTGACCTGGAAGGGGGCATCCATAGTTATATAGTTCATGTTAGTTCCCTTTGCCTTTCACACCCCTCACCTACGAATTGCCCAGGATTTGCAAGGTCCAGTGGAGGCCTTCAGCAAAGAGGCCGCTGCATCTTTTGCAGCGGGCCAGGGATACTCAGGAGACAATTCCAGCAAAATGAAGATTGAAACGGGAGATTGCCGGGCAGAACTCGATTTGACACACTGAACGCTCCTCATGAATCCTGATGACTCATTGCAGTCTGGCCATGTTGCAGGGTGGTTCTCTTTCAAATGTCAAAAGCCCGAGGTTTTACTTCCTGCACGAGCGTTGCGGGCTGGAACAAGCAGCCGGAAAGCCAATGGCTCTCGAGCTGCGCAAGCGAGCCATCCAGGTTTTGTTTGTGTCTTCGGAGTCAGGTGCAAGTTCATCCAAGAAGTTGAAAGCATCAAAAAGCTAGTAGGTTGGAGGCCATCGCAATTGAAAGCAATTCCAAGCTATGTCACTGTCAGGTACTCTTGGGATAGCAGCTGAAAGGGCACCAAGGCTACTTTCGGGATACCATGAGGACCGGATGATGGGGACCGGGCGCCAATGTGATTGATGTCATGTTGGAGGAAGTTCCTCGGCCTTGTGACACTGTGCATGGCCTTTTCCATCCATTTCCGTGGCAAAGCTCAGAGACGTTGTTGCTGCATTTTGTTCACCCCTTGGTTGGGATATCAACTACCAAAAGCGCTTGAGGCAAGTGGATGGGATGAAGCAATGTTTGAAGCAATCTGGATACTACTACATCCACGCGCCGCATTTTCCTCAGAAGATTTGCTCTTGGCAAACAGTCTGAAGCCATCAAACAGCTCAGGGCTACCAGCACCCGAACCAGCATCACAACGAGGACCTGCCATCACAACACCAACCAACCAGTGATGTGTGAAGATTTCTCCCAGGACCACCACTACATCCTCAACAATTACACGCACAAGCTCCACAGCCTCGGCCTTATATTTTATTACATGTCACCACCGGGGTGCGGCGGCCGCAACATGCAACGAGGCAACTACCAGCACTATGACATACACAAGTTCGAAGCTTACTTTGGGGAGGCCAAGCTGTTAAGGTCATTGAAGTTGGTGTTTGATTGAACCAACGCTAGGATATTTTCGATTTTTCCATGAATAAAACGAGCCAGCATGACAATGCAAGCAAGTCTCCTGTTGAAAGAACGAGAAGCCTTGCCACTGCTAAGTTGCAAAAGTTGCACCAGACAGCATTTTTAACTTCGAGCGCTCCTTGGCTGAACACTATGACGGTAGAATATTGTATAGTGTAATTATATATACACATATACATCTCACATCTTATAGTGCATTTATATATACAATATTATATATATATATATCATTGGCTTGTCTTGAGAATGTCTTTCTCTGTCTTGTAATTGTTTTATGTGCTTTGAGGACGATCCTTCCAGAAGCAGCTCCCCGTGTGGGTCATCACCGCCGAAAACGAACACCGGGGCATTCCTTTCGCCCCTCGGCCGAGTTTGGAGATCGCCTGCCTATAGATGGAGCATGGTTCGCCATTTCTGTGAATTTCCGGTAGAACACGGTGAACGGAGCCCAGTGGATTCGAGGCAGACACACAATATATACAAGGAACCAGATCCATTTTCGGGTCTCTATTGGTCTTTGGATCCATTGGTAATCCGAGCGGCTCCGAGTAGTCGTTGAAATGCACTGGCCGATGCTCGGCACCTGCGGCGTCCGCTTGTGCGCATAAATCTTGAGAACTAGATCGTGTGATCAAATGGTTTGCCACAACGGACTAAATAAAGAGTTCAGGTGTTGTAGAAGCCGTCGTGAAAATTGAAGCTGTTTGAAAATTGAACAATTGAAGCCATTTTCTTTGCGTTTCACTTTATCACTTCCTGAGCAGCTGTGAGTCGTCGCGTTGGTTTGGCCCGATCTTGCCAGGCCATTGGTTTGGCCACCAGCCTTTTGCTGCTCTTTTGCATCCCAATTGTAGGTACGCCGTGCCATGCTTGCTTGCTTGACAAGAGTGCAATGCTGGGGTTTGTATGTTGAACCTTTAAGACACAGAGGTTTGGACCTTGGAAGTGGTTGTTTTGTTTGGTCAGGCTTTTTCAGGACGACACCACCAGCACCAGTGCCTGGCGGGTGGAACACTTATATAGTGCATTTCCAGGTCTGCGTCTGCGTGCAGAGTGCGACCTGCAAGGACTGTTCTGCCTCGAGTTGCGCCAGAAGAGATAGAGGACGGCAAGCTGTGCATTGTGAGTCTGGCGGAATGCTGGTCATATTGTAGAAATGCAGCTTTCGGACCAGCCAGGATCCACTTCTAAGAGGACCATGAAGCAGATGTTGATGCCCCGTGCTTCAGTTTTGTATAGTTTTGCAGCATTTCAGGTCTTTTATTTTGTTCACCTGATCCATTGCTTTTAAGGCCCGCTCAAAGCTACTTGCGCCCTGATGGCAACTACTACATCTGGGCGCTGTCAGACCGACAACAACGATTGTCGAGAATTGTGCCCGATCTAAATTAGCTGACAAAAGTGTTGACATTCTAAACCGCTGATCTAAACGCCCCTTTGACCTGGAGCAGGGGACCTCAAAAAGTCAGCAAACGGCAGTAGTGAGTACGATTGGCCTTGCCCAAGGCCTGAACCACCCAATTCTATTGTCCACCATGTGCGAGCCCTGCATGTTCTTTTTGAGTCACAGCCCAAAGGATTCCGGTTTACACATATTTTCATGTATCAAGTGCATGTTTCCACTTTCGCACTAAGCTCAAGGGCTGAATCGCCCCAACTAAGTCAGTGCTTTTGATTGCCATGGCCGACATGGCCTTTGAATGCCTTTGATGTGAAGCATTATTTCGATTACCTCCACCAAGAACTACAAGAGGACTCAACGCTTTGGTTTGCATAGTATCAAAATGTATCAAACTGGGACAGTCATGGACAGTTAACGAAACCCGCTAATTCACATGCATGTGCCACCGCAGCATAATTCGTCTACAGGCCGCGCATTTTTGAAGGCAGCTCCTCCGCTGTGAGATTTGATGATCAGACATGGCGAGACATAATCACTCGAAAAGCTGTGGAGGTGGAGCTGAAACTAGCTCTGCACTCCGCCGATATCTTAAGCTGCTTGAGAAAGGACTTCAGTACGGTTCAGGCCGTAGAACTCGCAGCAGCAAAAAGTTAGACATCGTGATATCGCTGAATGGAATTTTCATTTTCTTTTGTGACAAGGCTCATCAAGCATGTTGTATTTTGGATATATACTTGACTTTCTTGCTATGCCATGGCTTTCAGCCACGTCACTCTTAGAGCTTCAAAGATCCAAAGAGATCCGTGTTGAACGCAACAGCTACAGTAGTTGTATATTTATAACTTAAAGCTATTGCCCTTAGCTGCTCAAACATCACCTGACATCCAGGGTTGTCTCTACTCTTTGACACGAAATCATCAACATCTACTTTGTGCCTCAGGTCTGGCATGTCACGAAAGGTGCGGGGTTTGGGGCACCTCACGTTCCCCGTGTCCTTGGCTGTTTTAGTCCACGGAGATTTTCAAACTCGATGTCCGGGGGAGGCACCCTACGTCGAGGGATTGGTCGCACCACTTTGCACTGGACATTTCCCAGAGAAAGGCTCCACGAGCTTCGCCTCTTGGATTGTTCACTTCTATGGGGGCAACTGTCGGCGCTGTAGAGAGACTGCCTTGATGCTTCAAGATGTTTTGACAGAAGAACCCGTCAGGCAAAGCAGTCTAAAATTCGGCGCAGTAGACTGCCAACAGGCACAAAACCGCAAGCTTTGCAAAAGTTTCAACATCTGGAAGTTTCCTGTGTTGATGGCCATGGGTAGCAGCTCTCGTTACAGCGGTCCTTTGGACGTGAACTCTGTGATGGAATGGATGGAAGGATTCCTGCGACTAGATGCTCTCGTCCCCGTCTCGAATCAGCTCATTGTGTGTCCCGCCTTCGAGCTCTATGAAGAACCGAGGCTGGCAAGCGAGTTCCTGACCGCGCACAACATCTTTCGCTGCATGGCAGGCATTCCTATGCTCGAGTGGGATTTGCATGCCTTCCAAACGGCCAGGGCATATGCCTCCAGAGCTCCCACGGATCGCTTGTCCCACAGTGACCCAGCCGAACGGAGAAGCAAACGGAAGGCAGTCTACGGAGAGAATGTGGCTCTTGGTCAACATCTACGGCCAGGGCAAGTGGTGGCTCGTTGGTATGATGAGATTCGGAACACGCAGGGAGGCAAATTCCGGCCAAAGCGTGCTGGACTTGGTCATTACACACAGTTGGTGTGGCGGAAGACTTTGCGTGTTGGATGTAGTTTGGGGCAAGATCGTCGTGTGGCTGTGTGCCACTATGATCCTGGTGGCAACGAAAAGGGGAAACACTTGTCACAAGTTGCACCTCCTTTGCCTGGATTTTTTGGTATCGAAGGGCAAGAACGATGTGGTGCGATTGTCGAACAGATAGGAGCCTCATGAAAAGTGAGCAAGGCTGCACCGCTGTATTGCCTCTACACGTGTTGCATGCTACTCGTAGTAAGTACTAGTACTCGTAGCTAGCAACGCTTGAAACCTGGTGACTTTTTACCTTTTGTGAATCATTGGAATGTTTGTCGAATATTTTGCATCAAAGAAGCGATTGTAGTATCCAGCTTGAAGCGCTGTGGGGCCGTTGGACCCAGACTTGCGTGTCAGTGGTATGCAGATCAAGGCATTTCAAGCAATGTACAGCAGCATTTAGGAGAACATGAACTGCCCAACTAATTATATTGTTATATCTAATTACTGATGTAACGACATTTGCAAACTTTTGCGAACAGTGCTTTTGATTTGTGTCATTGGTTGGTTAAGGCCAAAGTATGCCCGGCTTCGAGGTGCGCGCCGAGGTGTGCGTGTTTTTCCGTGTGCTGCAGCTGGCCACTCAGGAGCTCTCTCGGAGTGAGCTTTGTGCAGCTGTGCCTTTCTCAGAGCCTGGATGAGTGCTGAAACTGCTGAGTCTAGGGCAGAACTGATGAACAATAGGCCCAATGGGTTGTAGTGACAAGGCGAGTTGCTTTCTCAGGTACTGGACATCCAAAAGGGCCTGGCAGATTTGACCAAACGCCTAGATGCAGTTGGTGAAGTTCAATCCTCGGTGCTTTCTAATTTTACTCAGGCAAACCAATAATACAGTGTACTATGGCTGGCCACAAACTTTTCCTTTGAACTCTGAACTGCAATCAACCTCAGTCTAAGCGCTTGCCAGCAAACAGATCTCGAGCTTGTTTGCTTCACTTTCTTAGTGGATTTAGCATGAACTGGTGGGAAACATATATTTTCCTGTAAACCCTCTTATGCTTTGGGCTCTAAAAGGCAACTTCATTGTTGATAGGGCCCTTGTTACATCATAGACCATAGTGTTGTTGCATGCTGATCTCTTGTACACGGGTGCTGATGGTCTCTCCCATGGCTACTTGCAAAGTATCATGGTTTGTCCGCTTGGAGCTTCGATCCTGCTTGGCGGAAGTCTTTTTGCTGTACAAATCCTGTTTTCACATAGAAATCCTAGACATCGACAGAACGGCAGGAAGCTCAACTGATATGCTGCTTTGTAATTTGTCTTCTGATTCTAGCCTCTTACATCCTCTCGCCATGTTGGCGTCCGTTGGCATAACGAAGATGCCATTGATGAGGTGTGCGTGATATGTGTGACTTGGCTTTGCCATGACCGACTTGCTGACTGAGCTGAAGCTGAAACGCCCACGCACATGGATGATGATTACGAATGGCCAGGGCGCACTGGTTCATAGGTCATTGCTGAAGGTCTGTGAGAAAGAAGGCCTGCAAGCAGGTCCTGAAAACGAGTTGTTGCAGGCTCTATTGGATTTGCCGAGTTTGGATGGGAAGGGGGGCTACACTGGGACAAAAGCACGTGGCATTCAGCCGGCAGTCTTGGATGATAAGTTCATCCATGATGAATTTCAAAGACTTTGCAGTTTCCACGGAGTTGTGCGGTTGTCGTACGAACAGTGCTTGTCCTGGGACTGGGTTGCAAGTCAAGTTGGAGTATCTATCACAGATGACGCTGTGAGGGAGCTTTGGGGTCTCCGAGTAGCATCATCTGACGTGAGCGAAATAGAGTTTGGAGCCTTCGCTCGAGCTTTGCGAGAGGAGTCAGGATTTGCTACAACGATTCAATCCTTCTTACGAGGACGTGCCGGTCGCCAGAAGGCTCATTCACAAGCTATGGAAGAAAACCGGACTGCGCAAGAGAGCCGCTGTGCAGCGGCCATGAAACTTGCACCGTACAATCCAACTCCTTCCTGTGCCATTCATCAAGCGCTTGAGGCACTTGGAGTTGGATCCGGCGATCTCCTCTACGATTTGGGCTGTGGTGATGGCAGGCTCCTGATTGCCGCAGCCCAGCGAGGTGCTCGAGCAGTAGGAGTTGAGTATGACGCAAGATTTGTCGAAAAGGCTTTGAGTGCGATAAAAGAATCTGGACTCTCAGACTTGGCTTACGTCACTTGCGGTGATGCATTCTTGACTGATTTGACGCCAGCGTCCAAGATCTTTCTGTACTTGGTACCCGATGGATTGCGCAAGCTTGAGCCATCATTGTGTGCAGCAATCAAGCGCGGGACGCCAATTGCAAGTTACATGTTCTCCATACCTGGCTGGTCTTTTGATGATGTGCTAACAGCAGAGTCCCGTTCTCCTGAATGCAAAGTTTGGATATACAAACATCCCAGCTGTTTGCCTGCCTTACCTGCTGGTCAAGCTTGTTCGTGATCCAAAATGGTGAGCCTGAGGGTGTTTTTGTCCAGACGGTTTCATGACAAAGACACGCTTGCTCCACTAACAACATTCAACCTGGTAAGATTGTTGCACAACTATTCAATTCCAGCATGAGTGCATGCACAACAAACAGACTGTCTCAGGAGAATTCATTGCTGCGGGAGGAGCGGTCGAATCACAACTCAGCACAATTCTATTGGAATGTTTGTGTGCGCATCATCATGTTGAAGGTTTTTGAAGTTTCTCTAGGAGAATGCCCTGCTGAAAGATGAGATCGACGCACGCATTGAGGGAGCCAGGCCCATGACTCATCACTCTGACACATTGATTTCGTCTTCATGCGCCAGGAATCCTGGTAGATCAGGTCGGCGAAGCTCTGACAGAGAGAGGCCATAATCATCCATACATAATTATATACTAGTGTCGGCAGAGAGATGCAATCACATGTGCAAATACTGACTGCATGCAGGTGAGAATGGACGATAGACTTTGAATGCACATGCACCGACAGTGGCCGACTTCGCGAAAGCCAGAAAAAGCATGCGAGGAAGATGCCTTCATGCATTCGTGTTCCAGAAATGTGCATGGATTCTCGAGCTTGCGGGCACTGGGCTAATTCAAGAAGCGTGCGGGCACTTGGCTCATAGACACTGCCGCCTCGGGCACATGTTGTACATGAAAGCACGCAAATCAGCACACACATCAATTCTCGATTGCAATGAGATCCTACAATCCCGAAGTCTCATGAGTCGTGCATGGAAGGGCAGTCACTCTGACTCATGTAGGGTCATAATATGGCTGTCTTTGCAAAGGCTCGGGCAAATACTGTCCAGTTTCAATGACGCTACTAGGAACAAGGACGCTACTAAGGGCTCCTGGCCTTACCACTAGGAGCAAGGACGCTACTAGGGGCTCCTGGCATCGCTACTAGGAGCAAGAAGCTACTATTACTAACGGCTCTTGGCCTTACTACTAGGAATGTTAACCGCACTTATTACGGTCTTTGCACTTGAGCAAACAGGTATCCTTGGAGACGAGTTTGGCCACGGTGCCGCCTTGTAATGCTCCTTGTACTGTTCAGCAAATCACACACATCTCCAGTCAGACTGACACCAGTTGTCACAGTCCTTGAGACTATATACAGTTTCATACAGTAATTATATATAGGTTGGTGAATAGGAGGGTTAAATCTAGTTGAAGGCGCATATTGATACTTGCTTTTTGCTGCGCTTTTTTGTATTTCCGCAGCTTCGGCCCCAGAGGGTAAGCTGTGGAAGCTGATCCAGAGCCCATACCCGAAATTACAATACCATGAGCATCTATGAGTTGTAATCTGCAGCACTGAATACTACAGTGAGTTTGACGACACAAATTAGCATCCACCAACCACAGAAATGCTATGATACGCATTCATCAAGAAATGCGTACGCTGAGCTGCTGAACCAGCTAACAGGGAACTACCACAGACACATACGGCCTGTGAGTAGCGCACTGTCAACCTCCAGCTTCGACCTCCAGAAGAATTGACCAAGTGTCCGTCTTCCTCGAGGTCACCGGGGGGCACCTGCAACAGCGGGACACTCGGAGGGCGCTCGTTTTGCGGGGGTGATCGTTTTGCGCATCGGGCGATAGCAGATGCAAACAGCTTGTGTCACAGGTTTTGTCCTTTGGGAACCAATGCGATAGCCTCCAACCTGGTAGGAAAAGGAACCTAGAAGCGATGGCCTCCAACCTACTAGCGATGGCCTCCACCTAATATATATAATAGCCATGGCCTCCAACCTACTAGCGATGGCCCTCAATATCACAAAGTTTGCAAAAGCCTCCTGAACCTCCGTGCCACAGATGGCTGAACTTATTCCAGGATTCCTTTTGTTCAAGACAACGTTTGGCTGTGGCTTCCACGCTTGAGAGGTCCGGTCATGAGGCCTTCAGTGCCACAGCAAGGCTCGACCCTTTGCCACAGAGATGATTTATACAAGAGAATCATAGAGAATCTCGTGCATGAGGAAGACAGTGCGTACAAACTGAATTGTGACTATGTCTCGCTGGAATATGTTTTTTGCAGGTATGGGCAGCGTGAGAATGCCACTGGGAATGCCTATGATGGGCTTGCCAATGATGGGAATGCCGATGATGGGTGGCAGCCTCGGTCGCAGAAAGATGAAAGGACCGCCCACGTGGGCGATTCTGTAGCTTGCTCTCCGCTGTTTGTGTTCCGAGGTATGCCGATGATGGGCATGCCAATGATGAATATGCAACAAATGATGGGCATGAGCCAAGGCAAGGAAGCATGTCATGTTGACCAACGATACGACTTCAGACAGCGAACTGTTTCAATGGAGGCCAAATGCAAAGTGGAGCTTCTGCTCCAGCGTTGCAACCTTGGCATTTTGTTCCTTGTGAAGAGTTTGAGAGAGTCTGGCTGTGCAGGGGCGCCACTCCACCAGGCTCGGGAACGTGGATCCGATGCTGACATTGTTGGTACGTGCGCAAACGAGTTTGTGCTAAAGCTGCCAAGATACTTTGGGGACCCAAATTGCTGAGGGCACTTCTCTCTATCACAGCAACAGCGACATTTTGCTCACTGGCAGCGATCCATGTTCGGGCTTGCTCTGAATTGAGCTGATCTAAAGTCTAAAAAATGTGTGCTTTCTGCGGCAAACTATCCATTGTTTCCCAATGCATCCCTCCATTGCGAGCACTCGCACTAGCGTCAGGTCTGTCTTGGAGTAATTGGTCCCTTTCCTGCGGTGTCCAGTCCTTGTTAGCATAATTGTTGCATATAGTCATATTACCATATATGGCTTTGTCAACATTGACATGGAAGTGCCGTGCAAATTCATCAGTCTTCAAAAACACATACTTTTGGGTCATTTGGGTCTAGGAGGTTCTATGCCCTTGTGGATGTAATACCTAGTCCTACGTTTGTGGGGAAACTCCAGCACTCGCAAACCGTCTTCCATCCATTTTGGAGTTCTTCAACTGACTTTGATCCTTCCATCCATTTTTTCAGGCCCTGCTCCAGGAGGAAGTGCCCTCGGCACGCCACCTGAACGTCCAGAAGTGCTTGAGCGGAAGGAGAACCTGGAGCTGATTCAAAGATGGGCCATGCCATGCCCCCGATACTCATTTCAGAAATCCCTAAGCTAAGGATAGCTGAGGTCACTCCAGGCCCTGGCTGGAGTTCGCTCCAGTCTGACAGTTTTGTTGGTGCAGAGAGTCAGAGCTTTTATACTCTTACGGTTTCTTTAGAAGTGGCGCGGACTTGCAAAAGCTGGCGCCAATCCCTGCAACAGGAACACTTGCTGCACGATCTACAGCAAGCGGCAATCGAGCTTGCCCACAAGCAATATGCTGAGGAGCAGTGGTCAGTTCAATGTTGTAGAATGTCATGGCAGACGAAGGTCAGACAGCACTCGTGCAGCAAAATGCTACTAAGATTCTACAAAATGGTTCCAGGAGCAGAGAGAGAAGCGAGATCATCGAGATCGAAGTCGCTCCAGAGATGACCGTCACACCAAGCAATTTGTTGCTCTCTGTCTTATGTATGGCAATCACCTTCGGCCCCTTCTTAGTCTTTCTTGTGTATGGCTGACTGCAGGATGACCGTGGACATGAAGAGGCACTGGCCACCTTGCACCGACAATTCTCATGAGTGAGAAGACCTTCCCTGTGCACTTCCAAGGCCAGGAAGGATGTGGGGACGAAAGAAGAAGCACCACCTCCCTGTCACTTGTGCTGTCCTCTGCAAGATCTTCGGAACTTCTTGGTGCCCTGAACATGATTTGTTGCACACATTAACGCAGAATGTGTCTAAGGCACCCAGCAAAGAAGCCAAATGCCAAGTGCAAGTTTTGCCAGAGGGCAAGCAAAGTTTGCAAAGCTGCCGCTGCCCCGAAAAAGGGCAAAGAGGAGGCTCGGAGTGAAGCCGCGCCTTCAGATACGTGAGAACTAGTGAGGAGGTCCGCTCGCAGATGCTTGTATTCTGATCCATGGGCCAGGGCACTTTATCGACTGTATTCAACTTGGACGCTACTTCAAAGCTGAAACTAGATTAATATGACCAGTGGCTACTATTGTATACTTTCCACATGCTTACCTTCTTTTTTGGAGACTGGATCAGAAAGACTAGAAACTGGGGTATAATCCCGGCAGAAAAACTTTCGGAATCCGACCCTCACCACGGGAATTTCCTTATCCAGAATTCTCAGAACGAATTCATTTCGCAAGATGGTTAGTCCCTCCAAAACCACCAGAACAAGCATCCCCAGAGTGCTCAGAAAATGCTGAGAACAAGACTTCGCTGGACGTGTTCCTCACATGCTTTAATTCTTTTTCTGAGGCCCGAGAGAGCAAAGACCACAAAGAGGCAGAAAGATACAATGCACGGCTCTCGACTACGCCAGCTGTTCATTTTTGTCCAGCTCACCTTGTCAAGCAAAAGATCAAAAGAATTAGCCAACAATCTGCGATTTCTCACACCTTGCTTGCTCCTGTCAGAAACATGACACCCAAACCAAACATAGAGCCTGTAGCATTGACGTTCACACTCTGAACCCCCCCCAAAGACGTTGGAGTGATAGCAACATCAATGTGGCTGATTTTGCAGGAAGCAGACGACGAAGAGGATTACTCTCGTAACTTGGCCTTGGGGTCTGTGGGCAACACATCCTATGAATTCGGACTTGGACACCCGCTGTATTTTCGAACGCCTAATGGGCCAATGGGGGTTCTTGCAGAATCTAGACTTGCAGCTTGGTCATGTGAGGCCGTACCTTCAACTGCAGTCCAATCCTAAAGGATCAAATCCTGGGCCGGCCGCCTCAGTTGGCTCATACCGAGCTTTTGAGCCGGAGACCTGTCGACCGGTGACACCGTGACAGCCGCAATGCTCGAAGATGTCGATGACGTGCATGTTTTTAACACTCGATTTGAAGGTGTCAAAGTCGTGTCGGAAGTGCATGGAAGGCTCCAGCTACTTCAAGAGCATGCTGCAGCTCACCACCATAGACGAGATCATTGAAGAGATCAAGAATTACGCTGATACATTGGACGTGCCCTACACATTCCTTGGTTAGACTTACCTGGTGAGTGAGATGCCGGTGAATTTATGTGAATGTTCTTCATTACTTTTCCATGGCCAGGTATACAATTCGGGAAGCAGCACTTCACCCTCCAACTTTGTTTGTCAGGCGTGGCGGTGGCCAAGAGCTCTGCCTCAGATCCAGTGACAGAATATGACAGATCGCATCATTTGCTCGAGAGGAGAAGCGTTTGGGCACCAACACGATACTGACATATACACTATCCAAGCACCCCATCCTGCGTCCCTATTTATTAGAACTATACAATGCTGGCTCAATTTGCTGGGTTCAAAGTTTGAGCAATGCTCACAAATGATTTGTGCTCTTACAGCACGTGATTGGATTAGACCTGCAGAATTAGCATCAGAATTAGCTTAACCTTAAGTTTCCCAAAAATCTAGTAACCAAATCATTAGTGCGCGAGCTATCCTGCGTCCAGTCGGTAGGAGCGTTTTGTAGCTACTAGCGACTCCCTAGCTCCTACTAGCTACCTACCTAGCTAACCTACCTCTTCTCGCGGCCCTCCCCCCGGGGCCGGGCTAAAAAAATAACACCTTGGAGGATCTTCCAGGGTCGCTGACCACGGGCGAATCGTGGAACGAAGGCTTTGCAAATTCGTCGAACAAGGGATGGATCGAACGAACGAAGGTGTACCGCATCTTCACGCTTCCTGAAGCAGAAGACCTGTCCCAACTGCAGGCACGGAAGAGGTGTTAACGACGACCTGTCCAGCCTAGCCTGGCTGACTTTCTGTCGTAATGTTTTTGGTCTTGATGTTGATCCGGTAGAAAATACATGGACATATCATCCTGGAAGAATTGGCATTTAGATGCTTTTAGTAAACCTTTCTTCTTGATGAACTCATTCAAATACACTACGACGCGAAGACCTTGATGTGCCAGAGGTGATTCTGGAGAACCCGACACCCATTGCTCGAATCTTGGGTTTATTACCTCATTGCCTGTAGCACCTGAAGTGTAGCTCACCACTTGGAGCTTGTTGCAACATGCTGTTCTTTTCAGGTGCGTTGTGCTGGATTTGTCTACTTGCGCTTTGTGGTTCCAGCTGCTAAGCTTTTTGAGAAGCACCCCTGGCATGTCAATATGAACACTTGCATGGACCGCATGTGTGTGTGAAAAACAACCCATTAGTGTGAGATGCATCAGGATATATAGCTTGAAGAACTGAAAGAAGACAGTTTGGCAGCCTGGTCTGGCAGCATTTGGCACACGTGACAGGTTCGAAGAGTATCTCTTTGATGAAATGGAGTTGAAATACCAGGCCATCCGTTCTGAAACTACAAGTTCAGCTGGATGTGTGCTGAAACCACCAGCTGGGCAGCTAACTAACAGCCACTTGTCGTCTTCGCAGGATGCAGGTCGGACGGTGACGACCACCATTGGTGATTACGTTGAGGCTCTGTAGCTCAAGCAATTGCAGGTAGACTTCAAATTGACCCTCCACATACAACGCCTTGGAATGCTTCATCATGCCATTAATCGCAGTGCGGACTGCAGGGCCTTCTGGGGAAGGAAAAGTATTTCAACCGACCGCTGCCTCGAGTTCCCGTGAAGGCCATGCCGGAATCTGGTTCCGGTATGTTCCTATCAAATCCTCTACTGTAATTTTAGTTTGATGGGTTGGGATAAGCATTTTTCAACTGTACACCAAGGTATGTCAATCTCAAGGGTCTCTTCTGGATTCTGTTCGGCTTTGCTGGGGTGCCCTTTCAGCCTCTGTCCAGGTGAAGCAGCAATTGGAAAGGGAGCTAGCGCCAATCAGTCAATATCGAAAGCGCATGGAGGCACGTTGGTGCGCCGAGCGACTCTCATTTCAAACCGAGCAGAGCAACGGGAGCTGCTGCGATAGGCCCATATGAAACATAACATCAAGAAGATCGCCGGCACCCCCGTGGAGGCTAGCCGCTGTATGCTTTGGGTGTTGTTGATATTCTGGAGAATTCCTTCTATTCCTGTACATTATAAACCCATACGAACACCCTTGTATCCATTATTTGCAGAACTCACACTTTCTTCACTTTCAGGTCTTCCACGATGGACAGTGGGTCCCTGGCACTGCCCAAGATTTCACAGGCAAGCACGTGAAGGGGCGCAAGGCGCGGCCAGCTCTCGGAAAGCTCCTCCAACCTACTAGCATGGCCTCCAACCTAATTGTAATGGCATCCAACCTGCAAAATTTAACTACCCTTGCTACAAAAAGTGCATCAACTGCTCAGTTATGCCAGGTCAGAGTGGAACTCGACAATGGACAAGAGGTGAATGTTCACATGGGCAAGGTGCCTCGCCGTATGTTGTCGTCAGTCGAAGAAGAGGTCGATTCTTCGAGATGCATGCTCATTGGACAAACCCACCGAGAGAGCAAGGCGGCAAGACATGGCAGTAGTGAAGACTGAAGACTCAAATGATACGAACTATATAGTTATATATATATCACAATCAATGACACACATAATTAATAGTTCCTGTATGTGTTTTGGAATAATATATATATACATTTCTTTTTTTGTCTCTCTCTCTCTCTCTCTCTTTCTGTCCGTTTGAATGATACATTGTAGTGTCGATTGCATTGTGGTGATAGGTGGTCTTGCGAGATGACGGAAGCAAAACGGAGGACAATACTCACACTCAAACACTTGAGGAAACAAGACACATCAAAGCATGCGCAAACAGAGACGTTTTTTGTGTGTTGTATATTCTGCTGTGATCCTGGCAAATTTGCATGGAAACACACATTGTTTGTTGTGTCACAGTCTCCTTTTGACCACTCGTTGAGTTTTAAGGACTCACTTTAGAAAGCTAAATCAACGGTCGGTTTATCTAACTGGAGAATAGTCTATTTCCGAAGATGGACTCTGCATCGACTGGATCAGGACCGAACTGATGAAAAGGAGTCGGGAGACGAACGGAGTGGCTCTGACGATGAAGGCAAGAAGAAGAAGAAGAGGCGGGAACTCCAGGGGCAAGAAGCATCGTCAAGAGCTATTTGATTGACTCTGCTTGCCGGCAAAGGGGACTCGAGTCCTGCATGCTCTTTGTGGACACTAGATGTGGCCAGTCATTGATGTTTGAAGTAGAAAAGTACCATGCACAGTGTTACTGTATATAATGTATATAGATGTTGAGCTACTGTCGCTGAACCCTGCGGATGACTTGACCGCAAGGAGGACCAGTCGGAGCCGCAGCAGACGAAAATCCAGGAGCCCATCTTTAGATTGGCAGCATGCTTAGTTTAGAATTTCATGGTGATACAAATGTATAAGTTAAAGATCATCATGTTTGAAGGATTTGTCATTTTTCCAGCTTGTTGTCATTTGTTACCCCTACAGGGGACAAAACATTCTCCAAGATCCGGCAAGCTCATTAATACTGAGGTGCCGCTACAAAGGCAATCAAGACAAAGACCTGTTAGAGGCGAGTGATGCTGTGCACATGCACGAGTGTCAAAAAAGTCGGCACATACTCAAGTTTCCCTAAAAATATCGGAATCAAAGCACTATTAGTCTGAGCGCTTCTTCAAGGAAGCTCCCCCCCTCAGGCGGGAGGAGCTTCCCGTGAGCTATCCTGCGTCCATACTAGTAGCGTCCTAGTAGCTAGGAGCGCACAAGTTTATCCCTTACTCAATTAAGTAGGCACCTACTTGGTCCCTTAATTAAGTAGGCGCCTACTTAATTAAGTAGGAGAGGAAACACGTTTTCTTGTTATACAGGCCTTGCGGGAAAGGGCCAGAGAAGAAGCAGCTAAAGCCTCAGCTGCTTTGTGAATCGGAAAATCCATGATCCATATAGTAGCTGTAGCTTGCGGCTTGCCGGAAGCTCATGGCTTGACTGGAAGAGAACTGGTGGATTGTCATTGATTGATTTTGGTGTTCTTTTGCTGCCATTCTTTTGAGACTCACCATGCTGGCCACGTCTTCTGCCAAGGTTTGTTCCTATGCAAAGACCTACTCTCGAAGTCGTCCTGTGACGGTGGAGGATTGACATCGTTCGTGAGCGGCGAAGCGTCAGTTTGTACTGGTCGACACGGAAGCCTGACAGTGTCTAAGAGACTATATTACATATATATATATAGTCATAGTTGTTTTGTGTCAAGCAATTACTTGATTTGATCATAAGTTTCCACTTTCTGCCAGGGTGGGGACAAGTCCTCCAGGCCTGACAAGGTGGGGGGCTCACAAGGAATGCGTGTTGTTAACACGGTGATAAGGAATGCACACCACTGCCGTGAAAATCTGTGAACTATTTTTTACTTGTTACAATATTTATCGAGACTGATGGCATTTGCATCAGGAATCTGGAGGTGAATTCAGATCAAGAGCGCGGCAAGAAGAGGAGGAGGCTGATTCTACATTTGGCCACGTATGGGCACAGTGCTATTATTACTTTTGTTCTGCTGTTGTTATATACTAGCTTGGGAAAACTTATTATATATATATATGTATGTATGTATGTATGTATGTATGTATGTATGTATGTATGTATATATATACACATAATATACAAGTGCATTTCGTTGAAAGATGTTGAAAGCCCTAAGAGTTGGGGAAGCTGAGGAGCACAAGAGGAGGATGCGAGACATCTACGAAAAATATGGAATGAGCAAAGCTGCCCCGTCCAACTATGCAGCAGGCGCAAGTTTGCTCCCAAAGCGTCCGTGGTACGGTGGATAGACATTCCGAAAGAGAAATGCTTACAGATCACATTCAAGAATTCTCCAGAAGGGACAGTTTAGTCCCAGATCCAGATGGATTCTTTGGACCAGACACTGTGACTGGCCTGAGGTCCACGAAAAACGGAAATCGACCAGCCAGAGGTCCTGAGACTGGGGTAGACGGCTGGCCGTAGACCCGGGCGGTTTGCGACGGCTGAGCCGCTCACGGCGCGATTCCGGCGGAGCGGCGGAGCCGCGGCGCTGCGAAAGAGGAAGTGCTCACCCGCTTTGAAAAGTGACTTCGTTTGGCTGAAGTAGGGATAGCCTGTGTGCCCTTCATAAGTGCGGTTCAACAGTCATTGCAATTGCCATTGGATTGAACTCAACATACCCAACGTACGAGTATTTCTTGTATTCCCTTGGTGCGTTGAAGTGCGATAGTTGGCGGACACATTTGCCAGGGCCACCTTGAGCCTTGCGCAGGCACCATGGCATCAACAGGGCCTACTTCAGGTGGTCGCCTGAGACGGCCGAAACTCTCCACAGATCTTGCTGCACAGACCTTGCCGGCACCTCGCGTGTGCCTCATGGACTGATGGTCCTTTCAGACCGATTTCAGAAGCCCTTAATTAGTAGTAGTAATGCCCTTGTTTCCAATAGCTTCTTGTTACTACTAGTAA